GACAGGGGCTCCGCGTCGCTCCCCGCGCTTTTCCCGCCAGTTCGGGCGGGCCATGGAGGGCAACCTGTCGGCGGGCGGCAGCGCGGCGCCCCTGCCCTGGAGGGCGGGCGACGGCCCCAACGCGTCGCTGGAGCTGGCGTCCCGCCTAGCGCCGGGGCCGGGCGGCGCTATCAGCCCGTGGGACATCATGCTGTGCGTGTCGGGCACCGCCATCGCGGCCGAGAACGCGCTGGTCGTGGCCATCCTCGCCTACAGCCCGGCGCTGCGCACCCCCATGTTCGTGCTGGTGGGCAGCTTGGCCACCGCCGACCTGCTGGCGGGCTGTGGCCTCATTCTGCACTTCGTCTTCCGCTACGCCGTGCGCTCCGACACCGGCAGCCTGCTCACCGTGGGCTTCCTGGTGGCTGCCTTCGCTGCCTCGGTCAGCAGCCTGCTGGCCATCACAGTGGACCGGTACCTGTCACTGCACCGCGCGCTCACCTATGGCTCGGAGCGTACAGCGCTTCGCCTGCACGCCCTGCTGGGCGCCACCTGGGGTGCGTCTGCCTGCCTGGGGCTGCTGCCAGTGCTGGGCTGGAACTGCCTGGGCGAGCGTGCAGCAGCCTGCAGCGTGGTGCACCCACTGACCCGCAGCCATGTGCGCCTGTTGGCCACCGCCTTCTTCGCTGTCTTCGCACTCATGCTGCACCTCTACGTGCGGATCTGCAAGGTGGTGTGCCACCACGCACACCAGATCGCCCTGCAGCAGCACTTCCTGGCCGCCTCGCACCTGGTGGCCACCAAGAAGGGCGTGTCCACACTGGCCATCATCCTGGGGACCTTCGGGGCCAGCTGGCTGCCCTTCGCCATCTACTGCGTGGTTGGCGAGCCAGGCTACCCCTCCATCTACACCTACGCGACCCTGCTCCCCGCCACCTATAACTCCATGATCAACCCCATCATCTACGCTTTCAGGAACCAGGAGATCCAACGGTCCCTCTGGGTCCTCTTCTGTGGCTGCTTTCACTCCAAAGTGGCCTTCCGCTCCAGGTCCCCCAGTGACGTGTGAGGGGCTCTTCTCTGGCCAGCCCCTTGTGGCCTCTGGGGCCCAAGACTGGACTCGCCCCACAGTGGCAAGGTGCTGGCCACATGCTCCAACACTGGCACTTTATACATAGGGACAGAAAGGAAGCGAGCTTTGTTTGTCAACCAAGGGGCGATCAGTTTTGTGGGATGTGTGGGGCCACATCTGGGAAGCTGCATCACGTGTGTCAAGCAAAGACATAAGGAAGTGAACATGCTGCATAGGAACTGCCATTGACTGGGGCAGCCCCTAGGGCCATGCAGCGCAGCCTCCTGTCACAGTGGCAGAGACCCGAGGCTGACACAGAGGGAACTGGGCCTGACCAGGGTGGGGTTTCCCCACTATTTCTCATTTGCAGCCTCCAGCATTTCATATAGTCATAGAGAAGCAGGGCTGGAAGGGACCAGCCCAAGGCCGGATCAGCTCTATCCAAACCATCTCATACAAACCATACTCAAAACTCTACATTTAAGGTCTACAAAGTTCTCCTTCAGAGGCTGTGCTCCCTAACTCCTGCTTCATGATAGCACTTTATTTCTAGCTGCTGAACTGCCAAAAACAGTGTTGCCCTGTTCCAGGGCAGGGAGAAAAGTGACCATGTTTTGTTGGTGTGTATGCACGTGTGTGTGTGTCTGCGTGCGCGCGCGTGTGTTTAAGTATCTTTTGCTGCACCCCATTGATAACTTATCACATTTTGTATGCAAAAAAATTAATAATAAACCTACTGAACATGTATTGTTATTCTGTGTGTTCAAGTGATTCCAGGGATATAAGCCTTGAGAACTGACCAGATGAATAAGCACTCCCTGCTTTCCTTTTAAAAACTTGACTCTTTCTTTATACCCAAAGACACTGTGGTTTGCCTCCACAGAGGAACTCTCTGGTTGTGTTAGTTTTGTTTTGTTCCTTTCCCTATATTTATTTTTTAGCAAGAAAGTACTTCAATAAACATGGATTATTTGGTTCTAGTTCTCAGAAGCTCCTGCCTTTTATTTAGAGGTTAGTTCCAAATTAAAATGCTACATCAAAAGAAGTCTTATGAGAAAGAAGAAAAATGCACAATGCCAGCTTAAGTCTAAGATAGCAAAAAATAAATTAATTAATCAATCACAATGTATTCCCTGAAAGCCTGTACATAATACATTGGCTTCCTTTGCCATTCACAATTCTGAATTTAACTGTATCCCATTTTCTACCCTGCTTGATTGAACCCTAATGTAACACTCAAATGGGAGCAATCACTTAAATGCAGTTTTGATGTCTGCTTGGAGGAATTTAACAGTTTGGTGGCAACACATTGATTTTTTCCAGGAGCCTACCAAGGTGAACACTCCCCATCAGCTTGTAAGGATTTGTTTACCAGAGTTCAAATTTCAGACAACTAATTTACTGTTCATGGAAAAATACCCCTGGGTGCTTAACTGATCTCATACACATTTCATTATTATTTAAATACTGCAAGTTAATTAATGAGCATGATGATAAATATTAATACCAAAGATACTAGTATAAAAATATTGATACAAATACAGAAAAACAAAAAAGCTTTAAATCCCAAACTTATACCAAAGCCATCAAATGCTCACATCCTCAAATGAGCAGGGTTGTAAGAACAGAGAAAGCCATAAAAAGATTCTGGATCAGTTTTATTTCATATATGTATGAAAATAAACATACCCTTAGTATCAACATAAATGAGAATAATGCAGTGCAGTTACTAGGAGAGCTAGTAATCCTTGTTGCAAGTACTATGTTAAAAACTAGATTCCAGACTCTGTTTGCCTCATGTTTGTATTGTTATTTATTGTATATCAGTTGCAGTCTTTTGAAACCAAAGTCTGGAAGTCCCCCCAAGTAAGGTGGACATATGACTGCAATAATCAGTCATTAAAAAGCACCATTAATTAATATCTTCCTGAGTTTAGTTGATCAGGGTCTTAATCTGCTGACGTTTCAAAGATGTCAAAGAGGATATAAAGGCAGACTTGTGATATGCTAAAATACTTACCAAATGTGAAGTTGGAAGGTGTTAGTAAACCCGTAGCCAAATCCATCCTTTGAAATACAGCGTTCCCCAGATGTCTCATATTTTACGACACTGTTAGCAAAATAAATTGCCAAGAGTGGTAACCAACAGGTGTCCAGGACCCTTCAATTACTATCTTTCCTGGTTTTGGCTCCATAATTCTTTATTATCCCAGCCTGAACTTCAGCAAAACTATAGGACAAGACTGCAATACATTTTCTGATTTAGATAGGGACTTTTACACTAGCCATTGGAGTTGCTTAACAAAGAAGTGGAAAGGATTCATAGTTTTTTATGTTCATACAATCTCCAGCTGTGTTTTATTTACATCTTTTCACCAACATATGAAATACTTAGTGATTCACTTCATCTGCATTTATTCTATGTAATAAAAACATACTTTTAGTTTAGCACTGCTACCAAATATTTACAATATTGATCAAACTGAAAATAATCCCTCCTTTAAAAAAACAAACAAACCCACAGCCCTTCTAAATGCAAGGTATTTTAATAAACATTCTTCCACTGTAATGAGAGGGGAGAAGCAGATTTATTTTGTAATGATGAGAGCCACGTATGTGACTACACTAAAACAAATTATTTTTGCATATACCATGTTCAGAATCTTCTTGATGGCATAATAATTCCCAGGAAGAAATAACCCAAAATGGGGGAAAGTATTTTGATTTGGGGTTATCCTTTGGACTGGAACTAACATCAATCTAGTTACAGTAAAATATGGCTTTTCATTTCCTAACCTAGTCTTGATCTGCAGGGATACCTGAGCAGAATAACATTAACACAGGCTACATGATCTCTACCTCCCCATATCAGATCTCATGCCACAGAAAGAAAAGCTATGATCCCCAGTTATATTTACAAATGCTGAGCACACCTGGAAAAATAAATCAAATACTTTTATATGAAATACATTTTTCTTGCTGAGATTGTTATTTTAAATACAGAATCCTAATCCAAAATAGTTAGGCTGATATTTCATTTGTAGCTCCTGTATACATGGACACACACAAACCTATTACACTGTCAGCCTCCTAGCACTTGTACCAGAATGATTTTTTATGGCAAAAAAACCTATTCTGGAATCCTCATTACCACGTGGCTATGCAAGGTATCCTAATTATCCATGTAAAACTTCTGCTTTGAGGGCCAGGTGCAACAAACATCTCTGCCAACTGTGCTACTATATGGAGTTCCACTGAAGTCAGTCACATATCAGTTCTAACCCTGAAACTCTCACTAACATCAGCGGAGCAATTTTAACTGTTTAGGGATTGGAATAATTAGAATGGCAATTGCTTATAATAAAATTAGCCACTTTACAGTCCATTACGTTTCTCAAGCCTACTTCCAGAAATAAACAGCAGTCCTTGTTTGCAAGTATAGACCCCATAGTTGTTATTTCTATAAAAAAAAAAACAATTGCTCATCTCATTCCTGCAGGCCCTAATTAGGCAAAATTCCAATTAAATTGAATTCCCCTAATACAATAGGCCTGATGTGTGATGATGGGATATTATATGTATCCATAAAGTTTATCCTTGTATGTCTCTTTTACAGTTACTTACTCTTTTCATAGCAAAAAAATTAATGTAACATCAAAGGAAACACAGGTGAAGAGGTCCTACTCTATTCCTCTGAAGTCAATATGCGTTTTTGCTACTGACTTCAAAAACGCAAGAAAGCCACAAGCACAAAGGTAGTGATTATGCCACATTAAACACTTTTAAACTTGATTCAGGAAACCTTCAGTGTCAGATCTAATTTTCTTTAGCAACTGACTGCTTGCTAATAGCCTTGAAAGTCATGAGAGAAATGCAATATTTGCAAGGGCCAGATCTGGCTAGCTTTCTACCCACAGAGAAGCATTTCTCTCTAATTAGCTCCAACTAATTAGCTCCAGAGTAATAACAGAGCAGGGTGCTATTCCAGTGATAGAGTGGCAGAATCTGATCCTAAAGCACCATACCAAGCTTAATTCATTTCTGACGTATGGGAGTAGCTTCAATGAGATCAATAGAGGTACACAAGTGTAAATGAAAGGAGCATCAGGTTGGGAGCCTCATTCTGTGAATTACTGTGTATTGAAAAGTCAGCTGGATTCAAAAATCACAGATCAATCAAAAATCCATATTGAGTTAAACAACACAAAGCAAAAAGAGTTCCCATGCTTTAAATGCAGTGACAAATAATCTATATTTTAATTATCCCCTTGTACCAAATAACAGCCAAACAAAAAGAGGCTGAAATCTCCTTTCTGTAGCCAGTTTTAAAGGGATACAGTCCATTTACAACAATCAGGTAAAAGTAACTTCTGGTAGTACAACTGCTCCTAAATTACCTTGTCATCCTCTCTGGTTTTCCCATTCTGAAGAGATTTCTCTTTCTTGCTACTATATAAAAGGTCCATGCAATCAGAGGGGAAAATTGATTGACCAAGGAGGATGCAGTTCACTTCTCTATGAAAAACCAACATATTCAAGACGTACTTATATCTCTTAGGTCTTGCTCATAGGTGGCCAGACTGGTGGCAGTGGCTGTGGGAGGCAGGCCTGCACTTGTAGTATCTTTTATGCTTCTGCTCTCTCAAAATTGGCTGGTGTCCTTCACCTGGTTAATGCTACTGATGAGTTCTCCCAAGACGGTCACTTTCAATGGGTACTGTTACAGTTCTGGCCACTAGGGGGCTGGGGAGGTGGTTTGCACAGAGCAAAAGGCTTTGGGATTAAATTAAACTAGAGGAACAGATACATGACAGGGTATAAGCAACAACATTCCCAGGTGGTAAAATTACCACACATTTTTCAATAGATAACCACCCTTGATTTTAATGATTTACCATTTAGCAGAGGCATGTGTCATGTGTCTTCCACACTTTCACTGCAGCAAAACTAACACAAATCTTGTTTTCCCATGTAATCTCATCAGATTACAGCAATCCTTGGGGATTACTTGCTTCTGATCAGGAAGTCCTAATAAGTGTATCCCACTCACCAGGAATGACTATTTTTCTATCTCCTGCCCCTGGTCCTACAGGGAGCAATTTCTGCAGCTCAGGTCTCATCTCTAACTGGAATACAGTTACAGAAAAATGCATCTGTTATTAGCCAGTGCTCCCAAAGAAACAGTACTTTAACTGGAAAACCCCTCAGATACACACCTCATCCCCTAGAAGATCAAAAATGACTATCAGGCTTGAAATGTAAAGACCAGATAAATGCATGCACTTGCCCTGCATTAGGTTGTGTCAGAAACCACTCATAAATTAATAAATAAATCAATAGCCTCTAAGGGCAAAATTATATAATCTATAATATGCAACTAAAATCCCAAAGTCCTTATTCACAGTTTATTCATTCTTTATTCAAAGGGAAGTTTGCCTTAATAAGGGACTGAAGGTTAAATTCGCCCCTGTACAGAGTATCAGCACAAGGTTTATAAACTGCTTGGGTCAGATTTATAGAAGTATTTAGGTGCCTAAAAATGCACAAGATTGAATTTCACCCTGTCTGAATATTGATATAAGGACTCTTAGATTTGTTCTGCTTAAATCCATAAATGAGTGTTAATTCTGTATTTTACTTATTACAACTTAATAATGTATGATGTGATTTCTAACAAAGCCAAGGGTTCAAGGGTTATACAGATGAATTTCTGCCAATTCATAGTTAGCTGTTTGGAAAGAGAAATCATCACAAATGCCTTGAGGAAGTAGTTTTCACAGACAATATTCTCTTGTAGTGCTAGAATATGCCTTGAATTTAAAAAAAAAACTTTTGATGTTCAATTTATTTATTAATTTAACCTAAACTTTTCAAGTAGTCTAACAAGCAGAAAAAACAGCAAATTCTGTTTTAAGCCATAAT